GGGCCAGCGCTGTGGCACAGCGGATTAACACCCTGGCATCCCACATGGGTGCCAGTTCAAGACCTGGCTGCTCCACTTTTGATCCAGCTCTCTGCTGTGGCCTGGGAAAGCAGTGGAAGATGGTCCAAGTCCTTGGGCCCCTGCACCCGCATGGGAGACCCGGAAGAAGATCCTGGCTCCTGGCTTCAGATCAGCGCAGCTCAGGCTGTTGCAGCCAATTGGGGAGTGAACCATCTGATGGAAGACTCTTTCTCTCTCTCTCTCTCTGCCTCTTTGCCTCTCCTTCTCTGTGTAACTCTGACTTTCAAATAAATAAATAAATCTTAAAAAAAAAAAGGTAAAATACACATTTGAAAAGATAGCCATGTAGACATTTTAGAATCCAAAATAGGCCGGCGCCGCGGCTCACTAGGCTAATCCTCCGCCTTGCGGCGCCGGCACACCGGGTTCTAGTCCCGGTTGGGGCGCCGGATTCTGTCCCGGTTGCCCCTCTTCCAGGCCAGCTCTCTGCTGTGGCCAGGGAGTGCAGTGGAGGATGGCCCAAGTGCTTGGGAGACCAGGATAAGTACCTGGCTCCTGCCATTGGATCAGCGCGGTGCGCCGGCCGCCGCGCGCCAGCCGCGGCGGCCATTGGAAAAAAAAAAAGAATCCAAAATAAGAACCAAGGTAATGTATACACATCTGCAAGGTAATACAAATATTCATTTAGATAGAAAAGTGAATCACAGTAAGAAGGATGTTCAAAAAGCTCACAAAAAACCTGTGCATGGATTTCAAAACTTTTTTGCATCAAAATAAACTTAATTTCATTCTTCCACAAACTGTTTGAAGTATACTTATATTTGTTCCAGAGTATTAGTTATTCTTTTAGTTAGCATATTTTCTACTAATTCATAAGCAATTTAAAATCACAGTGCAGTAGATTAAACATCACCAAAGTCAATTTGAATAAAGGAATTCTGGGAGCCTAGCACACAAAAGAATTGCCAGAGTTCATCAGAGAATAAGTATTAATAGAACATTATATCAGGTTCATAGGTTAAATCTAGTATCGCAGGTAAGATATTATCTAGTTAAAAAAAAGATATTATCTAGTACAAATGTAAAGTGTGATAAACAGTTGAAGAACATAACCTGGACTAATTTGAGGACCTGTGTTGTAGAAACGCATTGGCCTGATTAAGCTTTAATGCCTGCTTCTGCACTTACAAAGGGTCTTCAAAAAGTTCATGGAAAATGCATATTATGGAAAAGAAACTACGCATGATTGCAATTTTTTTGTACCAAAACAAACATCTTTTAATTTCATTTTTTTCACAAACTTTTTGAAGTACCCTTGCATTGCTGTGTGAGGTTATTAAGTACTTGTTCTCACTAGGCCTCGATTTTCTTATCTGTAAAATGGGGAAAATATAGGGCCTATCTCCTTAGGTTGCTGGAAGGTTTAAATGAGATAATTAGGGGCAGGCGTTTGGCACAGAGGTTAAGTTGCTGCTTGGGATGCCCACATACCACATTGGAGTCCATGGGTTCAGGTCCTGGGTCTGTTTCTGATCTAGCTTCCTGCTAATGCACATTCTGGGAGGCAGCAGATGATGGATCAAGTGCTTTGGTTCCTGCCACACCCACATGGGAGATCTTTATATAGTTCCAGGCTCCCAGCTTTGGCCTGGCCCAAGCCCAGATGTTGCTGGCATTTGGGGAGTGAACCAGCAGACAGAAGGTATCCATCTCTCTGTTTCTCTCTGTCTCTTTCTTTCAAATAAATAAAATAAATGAATTATTTTTAAAAGTGAGATAATTAGAGGACGGAATTGTGGCGCAGCATCCCATATGGGTATTCGTTCTAGTCCCAGCTGCTCCACTTCCAATCTAGTTCTCTGTTAATGTGCCTGAGAAAGCAGCAAAAGATGACCCAAGCACTTGGGCTCTTACATGCATTGGGAGATCCAGATGAAGCTCCTGGCTTCAGCCTGGTCCAGCCTCAGCCTTTGTGGCTATTTGGGGAGTGAACCAGCTGATGGAAGATTAATCTCCCTCTCCCCCCCCAAACTGTTCCTTTCAAATAAATAAATATTTTTAAAAAGTAAAAAATAAAATGAGATAATTAAAGCACACTGCTTTGATAGAAAATAGGGTTTAATATTAAGTATCTTTGGTTGTCTTCCAACTCTGCAAATTTATGATATTGCTTTAAATTAGGCCTGAAATCTCAATTTTCTCACCACCTGTAAAGCAGAATAATAAAATAGGCCTAACCACTTCACAATGTTAAATGAGATAACCTATATAAAAGTACACAAAAGTGTTTCATAGAGGCACTATATGGATGCATGTGAAGGATTCCTATTAGTATAGGCAATTGACCTGCTGTTTCTCTTAATTTTTAGGGATTATCTTAAATTTATAGCTCAAAACCTGAAATGAAGTTTACCGCCATCTCAATTATTGCTGGAGAATTTTCCAGCTTTTTGTTTTATCTGGCTTTGCTCCTCCATCAAAATGTGAGAAGCAAGAGAACTGAACTCAAATTTGTCAATTCTGCTATTAATATTTATGATGAAGGTTTCCATATTGCCTAACATTATCCTTTGGTTTTCAAAGATCTATACTATCCATGACTTCCACAACAATGGAGAATTTCATGATCATCACTCATTTTTCTTTGTATCTGTTCTAGCATTTAGCAAACAGGGGAAATTGGTGAATAAGTCTCAATCAGTACTTGTTAACTGAATTATTTCATGAAACTGTAGCCCTGAATCTAGAAAACTAGATTTAGAGCCAAAGTACTAAGCTTCCAGTCTTAGCTCTGTTCCTTTTTGGATGTGTGACTTGGACAACTCACATTAGGAAAAGGAATTACACAAGTATTGTCTGTAAATGGGGAATGTATATGGAACTCTCCATAAATTATAAAACTCAAGATGTTATTACTATTAATCAATAGTGAATTGTGTTTTAAGTGCCTTAAAAAATTAAACTGACAAGATAGGTAGGCCTGCTAATGCTTAAGGTTAATATAGGTAAGTGTATGCATCAGCATTCCCTATGTGAGTGAAAACAGCAGACTGACAATTGTATCATTCTAATTCATATTCTGTGGCATTGAGAACGAGGCCACTGGCCTGATGAGACACAGGACAAAACTATAGTGGTTTTGGTCCCAGGATGTCTTACAATACCATTTTAAATTTATCACAGCATTTAAATTACTGTTAATGATACAATACTGCATTGCACTGTTTTCCCTTATTCAGTGGCAAATTAGCCATTCAATTGTTCCTGCCCACTTCAAGTTAGCAGATGCAGCTTTTAAACCCAGAGAGTCTTTGATTCTCATTGTGTGCTAGGTGAAAAGATGCACAGGCTTTCAAAAGTGAGTGGGATTACAATTCTAGGTTGCAATTCTTATCATCCAATCAAATGTAAGCTCTCTGCATTATAATTACTGCTAATAGCCTACTGAACTGGAGGGTCAGGCACAAAGCAGAGAAAGAAAGAGAGAAAAATACTACTAATAACAAACCCAAAACAACAAACAAACAATGGGAAACAGAGCCAGGTCCAAGTCTCACCAAAGGCCTGGATATGCCTTTATTTTGTGATTTGTATTTTTCAGACTCTCTGCATGCATGGGTTATGTTCATGTGTGGAAGAAGGAAATTCAAGAATTGGCTTTTTGAGGCCAGCACTGTGGCATAAAGTTAAGCCTCCACCTGCAGTGCTGACATCCCATATGGGCACGGGTTCGAGTCCCAGCTGCTTCATTTCTGAACCAGCTCTCTACTAATGTTCCTGCGAAAGCAGTGGAAGATGGCCCAAGTACTTAGGTCCCCACACCAATGTGGGAGACCAGGAGGAAGCGCCTGGCTCCTGGCTTCAGATTGGCCCAGCCCTTGCCATTGCAGCCATTTGGGGAGTGAATCAGTGGATGGAACATTTCTTTCTCTCTCCTATCTCTGGCTTTCAAATAAATAAACCTTTTTATAAAAAAAAAAAGAATCGGTTTTTTGGAACTAAAATAAAGTTATAGAAATTGGTGAAATGTTTTGGGTGTCAGATAGTTAATGCATCTCATTTTATAGACGGGGAAAGGCAAGCCTAGAGAGGGAAAGGATTTGTCAAATGTTGCTCGATAATTTTGGGGCAGAATAAGCAGATTGCTGACTTTCAAGTGGTAGCTCACTGAAAAAGGAGTTTCAAAGAGTATTATTTTAAAAAAATCATCATTACTAGGTTACTTGTTAAAAATAAAGATTTTTGGGTCCCCTTTCAGATCTGCTGACTCTGAATCTCAAAGGTGGGCAACAAGAACCTGCATTTTAACAAACTCTGCGGTTGTTCTGATATACACGATGTTTGAAAAGTACTGCCCTGGACACTCCTATCTCAGGCTTTAAACACACTCTTAAACACACACACACACACACACACACAACCTCTTTCAAGTATTTAAAAGAAACAGTGAGAGCGGATCTGAAATGCTGCAGAATCCCCATGGTAACAGGTCTTTGTCAATTGTTGGACCCAACCAATAAAGAGAAAAGCTTTAGCGGTCAAGCCCACTTGGGAAGCTGCCAATCGTCGAACATGTGGATGAGGACGGGCTCCACAGCCTGCTAAGCATTTTCACTTCCTCCTCCGGTTACACAGACACGCTAACTGAAGATGCGGTTCCGGAGGTATAATTTCTCTGCCAAGAGGCAAAGTCTGAAAACATGCGCTTTTTGTGTGTAATCATTTGTCACCGTCCACTGCCAGCTTCTCCTGGCTCTACCAATCTCCCAAATTTCTGAACGCAGAAACCCTAGAGGGTTCCGGGAAGACCTAGCAGCCGAGAACCCTTGGCCTCGCCACCGCGTCGGCTTGGTTACGTGGAGGAATCCACGCAGCAGGGGTGACGCAAAGGGTTAACAGGCAGCGCTCTGTAGAGTGGCAGGGAGAGGAGCCAATAGGACGCCTAGGCAGGCGTACGTCTGGTGTGGGTGGGCTTGGGACAAAACGTGTGAAAAGAAACCGAAGGCGGCCTAGGGTTGAGAGGGCAGGTGGGGTTAGAGGTTCGGAGGAGGGGAGTGCTACGGGAAGAGCTCGGGTCCCTCGGCCCCTTCTCTTGTTCTTTTCTCCTTAGGGTTCGGTAGCAGCGGGGACAGCCCGGGGCCCCGTGTATGGCCACGGAGTTACAGTGTCCAGACCCCCTTCCTTGTCAAAACCAGCAAGTAACCGCTGCCTCAACCCCAAACCCCGAGCCGCTGCGACCTGACGACCCAACCTCGGACCATGCCGGCGGAAACAGTGCCTCCGTGGCCAAGCTGACTCTCCTCAAGGGGGACGCTCAGCCTAGTGTGCCCGCCGAGGGGGACACTCAGCCTAGCATGCCCGCCGAGGGGGACCCTCAGGCCTGCGGGGCCACCCTCAACTCTGAGAGTAGCAGTGGCACCGGTGACGGTGGTAACTCGGACGCAGTCGTCGGCGACTCCCTCCTGGGGGACTGTGAACTCTCTTGGCAGATTGGGCCGCAGCTTAAGCTGCTGCCTATGAATGATCAGATTCGGGAGCTGCAGACCATCATCCGCGACAAGTAAGCCCAGATTGGAGGGGGGAAAGGGAGGTGGAGGGTCTTGCAGAAGGTGGGCGGGGACTGGAAGTAGAAGGGCTAAGCGGGTAGTGTTCCGGCCCCCGGGCAAGCTGATCTTTGGAGATTGGGGCAGGGCCTTTTCTTTTGGGGGTGTGTATGGGGGTGGTGTCATGTGACACAAGCCTCCAACCCTCTCGTTCCTAGTCTCCGTGTTTAATTTTGCTTTGTAGAGGTAGCCTCAGGCCGGGCCTCTTTGTCTCTGAGTGATGAATTCTCAGCCATTCTAGGCAGGTAAACGCCCTGGTGTAATCTGCCCAGTACCTGCCCACGTGGTAAATCTACAGCCCAGAAATGGTTATTACCCGAACTTAAGCTGTACCACCAATCACCTCAGGCTTACAAATTGAAATAAAGCAATTTCAAGGCAATTCTGTCCTGCTCTACTGGCCTTCTGACCCTTTAATGTTTTCTACTGTAAATATATCATTTTTATCTAGGATCTTGGAGTTCAGGGTTACCTGGTCACATGAAAGCTTATCATCCAACTCTTAGCAATATCGTTTTACTGTAGGGCCTTTGGCCCTTTGTAATCCTACAAACCAATGTAGCCAGAACTTCTTGTTAAAATGCTATTTTAAAATTTCTCTAAATCTCAGGTGGACATGTGGCATACCACCACTGGACTGGGGATATCCCCATCCCATAGGGGAGTGCCTGGGTTCTAGTTACTGCTGTGCCACAGATTCAGCTTCCTGCTGAATGCACACCCTGAGAGGCAGAAGGTGATGGCTCAAGTGCTTGGGTGCCTGCCACCCTGTGGGAGACTTGGATGGAGTTCCTGGCTCCTGGCCTGATCCTGCGCTGGCTGTTGGCAGAGTTTGGGGGAGTGAACCAGCTGGATGGAGAATCTCTCAGTCTCTGGCTCTCCATTTTTCTCTGTTGTTTTGCTTTCTCTGTTGCTTTTCATTAAAAATAAATTAATGAAAACTTAGAAAAATTTAAGTAAAAGAAATTTCTTTTTTTCTTTCTTTATTTATTTTTATTTGACAGGTAGAGTTATTGACAATGAGAGAGAGACAGAGAGAAAGGTCTTCCTTCCGTTGGTTCATTCCCTAATGATCGGCGCTGCGTCGATCTGAAGCCAGGAGCCAGGTGCTTCTTCCTGGTCTCCCATGTGGGTGCAGGGGCCCAAGCACCTGGGCCATCCTCCACTGCCCTCCTGGGCCACAGCAGAGAGCTGGACTGGAAGAGGAGCAACCGGGAATAGAATCCGGTGCCTATATGGGATGCCAGTGCCACAGGGAGAGGATTAGCTAAGTGAGCCATGGTGCTGGCCTAAGTAAAAGAAATTTCTAATTTCTGTATTGTAGATGGGTTTTCTCAAGGAAAATGTGTACCATGATGAACTGTAGTTGGTTTCTTTATTGACAGCACTTTGAGTAGCTGAATAAATTCAGGTTGTTAAAACACCCCGTTTTCAGTGGTGGGCCAGGCCTTGATCTTTTAAAAATGGCTACTGAATGACAAGGTGCCACTCCCTGAATCAGACTCCAGTAACTTTTTCTTCATACTGTTTTAATAGACCCCTAATTTGTTTCCCTGCCTGCGCTTTTTCTCTCTTCCACATACCCACACATTACTGTACAACCAATCTTCTTAAATATACAGCTTTGATTTAGTAACTGCCATACTCAGCAGCCTTTTTTGGTTTCTTCGAGTCTACCAAATAAAGTCCAGGATTATTGGCTTGATATTAAGGCCTCTCTTATGGTTCCTAGGATCTATTCTGAATCATTCCTGCTTCTATTCCCATTTAGAATTCCCTGTATCCTCATTATTTATGTCTGTTCAGATCCTGTCTATTCTTCACAGTCAAACCCAACTTTGAATGTGTACCTCTACCAAGAAAGTTTCCTTTATTTTAATTTTTAAAGAGTTATTTATCTGTTTGAAAGGCAGAGTGACAGAGGAAGAGATCTTCCATTTTCTGGTTCACTTCCCAGATGCCTACAATGTCCAGGGCTGGGCTGGGCTGAAGTCAGAAGCCAGGAACTCCATTCAGGTCTCCCACATGAGTGGTAGGAATCCAGGCACTTGGGCCATCCATCATCTGCTGCCTCTCAGTCACATTAGCTGGAAGCTGGATTGGAAGTGGTGGTAGGACTTGACCCTAGGAACTCTAATCTGGGATACAGGCATCCCAAGTGGCAGGTTAACCTGCTGTGCCATAATGCCTGCTCCAAGAAGGTTTTCTTTCAGTATTTTTCCTGGGTGATTTTCCTGGCCTTTTTTTAAAAATTGATTTATTTATTTGAAAGGCAGAGTTACAGACAAAGGGAGAGATACAGAGAGAGAATCTTCCATCTGCTAGTTTACTTCCCAAATAGCCAGGGCTGGGCCAGACCAAAGCCAGGAGCCTGGAATTCCATCCAAGTGTCTCACTTGGAGTGGCAGGGGCCCAAGCACTTGGGGTATCTTCTGCTTTCTCAGGTGGATCCCAGGGAGCTGCGTGGGAAGTGGAGCAGCTGAGACTCAAACCGGCACTCCTGTAGGATGCTGGCATCCCAGGTGGCAAAATAACTCCCTTCCCTGGCCTTTTTAATGGAAGATTACCTTCTCTTCTGTTAGGTTATTTTTTCAGAAAGCTGCTGGTTTTTTTGTTTGTTTTTAAAATTTAAGAGAGAGAGAGAGTGAGCGAGTGAGCTCTTATCCCCTGGCCTACCACCCCAAAGCCTATAGCCAGGAGTTAGGAACTCAATCTAGGTCTCCCACCTGGATGGCGGGAACTCAACTGCTTTAGTCATCACCATTGCCTCCTAGGGTCCACACTAGAAGGAGCAGGAGCCAGGCACTCCATGTGGGATATAGTTGTCCTGGCATCTTAACTGCCAGGCCAAATATCCACTCCCATATTCCAATTTTTTTTTAAACTTTTATTTATTTGAGAGGCAGAGAGACAAAATTGTGTGTGTGTGTGTGTGTGTGTGTGTGTGTGGAGAAAGAGAGAGAGAGTGAGAGAGCACTTCCATCTGCTGTTCCACTCCCCAAATGCCTGCAATGGACCAGGAGCTGGGAACCTGAGCCAGGAACCCAATCCAGGTCTCCCACCTGGGTAGCAGGAAGCTGAACTTGAGCTATCACTGCTGCCTTCCAAGGTCTACATTAGTAGGAAGTTCAAGTCAGGAGGAGAGCTCAACCCAGGCATTGACAGTGGATGCAGGAGTCATAACCAGTGTCTTAACCATTAGACCAAATGCCCACCCCCCTATTTTGTATATTATTTATATATTGATTTTATGTTGACTATTGGATTTGAAGTTCCCTAAGGACAGAAATCTTTTACATTTTTGAATTCCAACCATACCCTGCAAGTAGTAGATGCTTAGGGACTGGCATTGCAATGCAGCAGGTTAAACTGCCACTTGGGATGCCCACATCCCATTATCAGCATGCTGATTTCAGTATTGGTTGCAGTCCTGGCTGCGTTGCTTCTGATCCAGCTTCTTGCTAATGTATCTTGGGAGGCAGCAGATTCTGACTCAAATGCTTGGGTCTATCACCAATGTGGGAGAACTAGATGGAGTTCTGGGTTCCTGGCTTTGGCCTAGCCCAGCTGTTGTGGACATTTGGGGAGTGAACCAATGAATGGAAGCTCTCTCTGTGTCTCTCTTTCTTTGTCACTCTGCCTTTCAAATAAATAAATAAATCTTTAAAAAATAGATTCTCAATTACTGAAGGTTCTTACTAATTCTTAATATTTATAAAACTATACTATTTAAATGTTTTAAATTAGTATTACAAACTACTATGATCATGTGCTCTAAGAGATGAAGCAGTTATCTTAACAAATAGGAAGCATAACATCGGTAGTTATGGAGGTAGTTGAAATAAAACATATGAAATAAATATGATATTTTTATTTCTGTGGGATAGGAGTTACTAATCTTGGGTCTGGGGCCCATGTATATATAGTTGGTTTTCAGGGCTTTAGCAATCCCTTAGATATTATCTGGGAAATTTTATTTATATGTGCATTTTTAATGGTTTTTAAAAATTACATCTTTATGGAAGTACAATTCACATACTATACAATTCAAGCATCTGAAATATATGATTCAGTGGTTTTAAAAATGTCCATAGCTGTGTAACCATAATCACAATCAACTTTAGAATATTTTCTTTTTTTTCTTTTTCTTTTTTAATAAATGTGAATTTACAAAGTGCAATTTTTGTATTGTTGTGGCTCCCCGCCCAACCTCCCTCCCTCCCGTGGCCCTCCCCTCTCCCACTCCCTCTCCCATCCCGCCCTTCATCGAGTTTCATTTTCAATTACCTTCATATACTGAAGATCAACTTACTATACACTAAGCAAGGATTTCAACAGGCTGCCCTCACACAACCGCCCAAGGTATAGGGTATTGTTTGACTAGTAGTGTTGTTTTTAAGTTTCATAGTAAACCGCATTAAGGACAGAGGTCCTGTGTGGGGAGCCTGTACCCAGTGACTCCCGTTGTTGATTTAACAATTGGCACTCTTATTTATGGCGTCAGCAATCACCCGAGACTCTTGCCATGAGCCATCTAGGCTATGGAAGCCCCTTGAGTTCACCAACTCTGAACTTGTTTAGTCAAGGCCGTATCACAGTGGAGGTTCCTTCCTCCCTTCGGAGAAAGGCGCCTCCCTCCTTGATGGCCTGTTCCTTCCGCTGGGGTCTTGTTCACCAGGATCTTTCATTTAGATTGTTTTTGCCACCATGTCGTGGCTTTCCATGCCTGTGAGACTCTCATGGACCTTTTAGCCAGATCCGAATGCCCCAAGGGTTGATTCTGAGGCCGGAATGCTGTTTTGGGCGTTTGCCATTCTATGAGTCTGCTGTATGTCCTGCCTCCCCCGCAGGATCATTTTCTCCCTTTATGACCCCACTAAGAAATCCTTACCCATTAGCAGTTCCTTTCAACCCATCCAAAGCCCTAGACAATCACTGCTTTCTGTCTTTATTGATT